CACGTAACTTACATAATTCGTTCATTGCGAAGTTACGATATTTTTGATCTAATCAGTTCAGTTAGGAGTTAAATTTAGAAAAGCCACAATTTGCGTACAGCGTTTTATGTACGTATGTTATCTTGGGGCTTTATTAGGTATCATTAGCTAGTACTTATTTTTTTATAAGAAATAATTGTCGAACTACCCTTGACCTTAACAGCGCACGTATGTTTCTTTTGACCTAGGCATATCACATTCTTATTCTTCTTCTTCTTCTGACTATTTTATTCAAACAATTTTATCAATTTATATTCTGTTAACAAATAACAAATTTGATCTTTTAATTTTCGTACTTGATTTTGTCCTACATACAGTACCACCGCAGTTTTCTAATCTGGTTCATAGATTTAATAATTCCGATCTAATATCGTAGTAAGTCAAGTTCAATTTCTTTTCTTGGATGCTGCTGCACGGTTTAATTTTAAATTTAATATACAAACTTCCATCTCGTCGCCGGTTTGTTTTATTTTTAAAACTATGTCTCTGTGCCAAGTTCAAAATGCTTGACTAATTGAGTGTAATTGTTGTTCGTAAACCGATTCTCGCTTCGCAACTTTATATGTTTTCGTTAATTCGATAATGGCTTCTCGTTTAGCGATTGTTTTTACCACATCAGTTGTTGTTTTCTCCGAGAAGCCAACTTTGTTTTTTGAAGTAATATGAGAATATCGAAATTTCATAAATCTAAGGTTTTCCTTAGTTAATGTTTATTTAAAGATAGTTAAGATTGTCCTATATAAGTTATTGGCTTATTTAAATAATTTGGTTAAAGAACTTAGTCTTCTATAGGTTTTTTGCGTAAAAAGGAGATTTATTTATAGCTGATAAAAAATGTATTCACAAAAATATAGTACCAGGATTTGGTAGACTTCAATTTAGATCAAACCGTTTTGTGATTTATTGCATATTACATTTTTTAGCGGCGCCGCCGAGTCAGTTTTCTTTGTACCACGGTGTTCCACACTATGTCGTCAGCAAGAATAGCTTACTAGGAATACGTTTTTGTATCTTTTGCGACTACTGAAAAATTAATGTTTTTGATTAGANTCTTTAATGATGTTGATCGCGTCTTCAATGTATAGATTAAAAAGTAGCAGCGACAGTGTGCATCCCTGTCTGACTTCCTTCCTAATATCTACTTCTCTACGTTCCAGAACCAGCTCTATAACTGCCTGTTGCTCTTTATACAAACTAAGTATCACTCCTCTATTTCTGTAATTCATCCCTACATTTAGATCTGTCTGTTCTAACAATAATAACAATCACTCTTCTTTATTTAATGAATACGAATTTCTTCAATACCTGAAACTTCTTTAAGAAAATATTCCATACATTCATACTTGTGTCGTCTAACTGCTACACAAATTTAATGAAAGTTTTCGTGACACCTGGTGTGTATTAATTACCTAACACTAACGCCCTATTCACTTTCCCCTTCATTCCTTCTTGTTTAGCAAGCATAATAAAACAGAGCATAACCTTTTTAAATGACCTTATCGTTAATTATTTGTCTTTTTTGCTTTTATAGCTATTTTTGTTTTGATTATTTTATGTATGTATATAAAGACAGCATTATTCATGCAACGGTAATAATTTAGAAAATTGCCTTTTTTATCCGACTTTATTATTGATTACATGTCAGTGTAGGTACCACATGCATCCCAGCACCAAACAAGTTCAATAACCCTGATAGATTTATTTTCATATAAATGTATAATCAATAGATGACAATAACAATTGTTTTGTGCCAATAGAAATTGTTTGACGAAGTTTGCTGTTGTAACTAGAAACTACAGTCTTGTTTTTTATTATTAGCTAAATGCCATCATTTCTTTTAGGTACAATTGTAGGTAATTTTTTTAAGTACATTATAACGAAAATTTCGTGTAAAATATATGTATAAATATACAAAATAACCTAGACAAAAATTTTCTGTCTCTCTCCAGTCTTTCGGCGTCTCTGAGAGCGTCTCTCACAGTCTTTCACAGTCTCTTAGTTATTGCCTAGGTATTTTTATGGATCTCTCACAGTCTCTGTATGAGAGACTCGAAAGATAAAATTATTAATTCAGAGATTCGAGTCTCTCGTTCAGAGACTGGATACGAAATAAGGATCTCTCTATGAGCGACTGGAGCCTTTCGTTCAGAGACACTAAACAGTTTTTTTGACAGTCTCTCGACAGTCTCTCTCAGCGACACGAGAGAGACTCAATGACAGACAGAGACTCCAGTCTCGCTTTCAGAGACTTTGAAAGACTAAGCATTTTTATCTCGGGATACTTCTTATGTTTCAAAGTGACTGTGGAGAGTGATTATTTAAATAAAAATACAAATTTTGATAAATATTTACTTAATAACGTGCAGGACCTTATAAAAAAGGTGATTTTAAAAATAAATCAGGAATTTACAAAATTACATTCAAAAAACTAAATTCTACATTTATAAGTACACCTACGTATATATTTTGGCATCCCCTAAGAAAGCATTTCGAGCATTCGCTAAATGAAACGAAAATAACTGAAAAAGTTAACATTATAAATAAACGATTGTTCTGAAAGGAAACAAGGATCCTTAATTCTTTTTAATTGCTTCCAAAGGGCATTAGTAACTCCCTGTACATCAATTAAGTTAAGTCTATATTTTCTCGTTTACAAAGCAAAGTTTTTTTGAAAATGATAAGCAATTTTCGTAAAACAAAATATACAAATTTGGCTTTTAAGGTATAACAATTGTTATAATGAATACATACATATGTAGATATTTCAGTAAAGGAACTCAATTTAATTTTTGTTCTCGCGATCCCGTTTCCATTACCGATCTTATTGAAGTGTGACAAATATGTCGAAACGTCGATACGAGTGACACATTTGTTAAGCGTTCCGCTGAGTTGGCAAAGCAAATTTATCTTTTACTGAGGTAAACACAAAGTCGATTTTAAGCCGCACCAGCTAATAGTGTGAATCGTATACCTCTGAAATGGTATAGGTATTTCAAATACTTACGTATATTTGATACAAACCAAGCTGTAGGTAAATGAGTCTTCCATACGAATGGTCGCATTGAATTTGAAAACTTTTTACTGATTGTGGGTAGTCCGATGTTAATAATTCTTTTATTTTAATTTTATATTTCGCTTTTCAGCTTCTCTTTTCGTCACGTTTTTTACCTTGATGTTGTTTAATTCGAGTGAATGTTCTTCCAATTNTAATATCAATATACATAACATATTTTGTCATTTTTTTACATAGGAAATCAATAATGCAGGAGCAGGAGTGTGAAGGGTCAGAAAAATGAGCGAAAATGTTATTATTAATCATTTGGGTCACTATAGCCGAATATGATTTCTTGAAGATCAGTCATAATAAACGGTATGTCATTTCAAACGGAGTCATTATATCCAAACATTCTTATAGTGAATGTAACATGAAAACCAAACTTAACATTGCATTTCATTTCATATTAAGCGGTTGGTCAATATAGGCGGAGTCATAATAAACGAATTCCACTGTACCTACATATTTTCGTGCAAATCATTGAGCAGATCTTCAATGATTGATTTTAATGAAACCTGCATCAGAGCAATAACGTTCGTCAAGTGCCATTAGACACTGGGTTTAAAAGCCCTCATTACTTCAAATACAAGAAACAGAAACTCAAGTACCACTCATCCAAGCTATTTAAGACTGTATTAACCTTTAGTGGCAATTGTCTAATATTAGTTCCCTATTTTCATTGAGTTTTCTTCCAGCTTTGCTCTGGAGATTTTATAGAGCGTCCCAGTTTCAGAGCGACGCCGCCGTGTGCAATGTGCTACGTAGATATACGACGAGTTCTCGTAACCTTTGACCTTTTCTCACAATTCGCTTTTGCTCAGTCCATTATCGGCAGACTTCTTGGTGAAATATTTAGACTGCGTACCTAAGAAACTGCTCTTTATAAAAAGAGAAAACGGTCCCTTTGTCATGCGTCCGGATCCATTAAAAATTAAACGATTTGCCCGTTTGAAGCTAAAAAAAATATAATTTGAATGAAAACCTTATTTACTACCTGTGCTGGTGGCTTCAAATTTCAGATTCAGATTTGTTTAATTTTAATTCATCGATTTGCTGAAGCTACTACTGGTTCAATAGCTAAAATATTTGGCGGAGGTGCCGGGAAATATTAATACTCATAAAGGTATTTATCATCATGAGGTCGTCAGTCCCAAAACTGGTTGGACACGCATCTTCTTTCTCTCCTATCCTGAGCTAATCTTTGCATTTTCTTAAAACTAGAACATTTCACATCCTTAACTATTTGCAAACAGTAATCTAATCTAGCTCTATTTCTCTTAACTCTTGTTTCTGCCTGTGATACTTCTCTGACTAGACCTTCATGCCTGAGAAGGTATCCTACTAACCTATCTCGCCTATTTTTTTATTGACTTTCATAGAGTCCTCTATTCTCCTATTCTTTCTAACACCTCTTCATTTATAACCTTTTCTACCCACGATATCCTCATCATTCACAGGTAACACCACATTTCGAATGCTTCTAACCTTTTCTTTTCCACCGCGCCCACCGTCGATGTTTCGCACCCGTACAGCGCCGCGCACCAAACAAAAAATATTTAATGGATAATTTATTCTGACATTTTTAACGTAATAGCTAGAGATAAAAGATAAAGTGTGACTTACCAATTTATATGAATGAATAAAATGAATTGGAAAGGGCATAAATCTTCAACTTATACGCATGCCTATGAAGCAGTGGATGGTTTATGTTTGTTTTCAATACCTGAAGATGAAAGTTTTTAGTCCACGTTTCTGGGTTTCGAAGCTCAGTTGGGCTTTAGTACCGAATGCTTCATTACTTCATATTTTTAAAATATTCAGTGATATGAATATTAGTATACAGTAAAATCAGAGATCACCGTGAAATTCAGAAGTTTGTAATAAAATTATATTTCTTTTGTTTCAGATAGAGCCCCATTAATGATGACGTGCACTTAGTAAATTGCCGATAGTTATCGATGAGGCGTTTGAAGAATTATAGATAGTGGTAGTGGTCCAGTGCTCAGCAACAGCTGCTGTCCATGGTGGGGGGTGAACGGGACGGCGATGAGCTGGCTGCGCGCTGGGACGTCCCTGCTACATTGGAAAACGCGGGCGGCAGCATGGGGGGCAGGGACGTCCGTGTCCCAAGCATATCCCAAGTGTCCCCACCGTTGTTGTCATCGTTGCCGCCGCCTCTGCCGCTGCAACAGCAGCACAAGAGGCCGTTCGCGAGGTCCATGTCCTCGCTACCACCAGAGCCCTTCATGATCATGCGTTCGAAAGCCCTCAATAGGAGGGTGATCGTGAACGTAGGGGGAGTGAAGCATGAAGTGCTTTGGAGGACTTTAGATAGACTCCCTCACACCCGATTGGGTCGATTGAGGGACTGCAATACTCACGAAGCCATCATGGAACTATGTGACGATTATTCACTTGTTGACAACGAGTATTTTTTTGATAGGCATCCGAAGTCTTTTAGTTCTATTTTGAACTTCTATCGGACAGGCAAACTCCATTTGGTCGACGAAATGTGCGTGCTTGCGTTCAGTGACGACCTAGAATATTGGGGAATTGACGAACTTTATTTGGAATCCTGTTGCCAACATAAATACCATCAGAGGAAGGAACACGTCCACGAAGAAATGAGGAAAGAGGCGGAATCGTTGAGGCAACGGGATGAGGAGGAGTTTGGTGACGACAAGTGCTCCCAATACCAGAAATGGTTATGGGATATGCTAGAGAAACCGACAACTTCCATTGCGGCAAGGGTGAGTCGAGCAAAACCAAATGGTTTTTTTTTACGTTTGCACATGAAATGTTGTTAAACTGCTGGACAGGAACAACAAATTAAAAAACCTCAACGGTACCAAAAGCGTATTTTTTATTTTGAAAAATACTCCTCAATAATTAAGGTCAATTGAAAAGTCCCCGGCCTAAAATAGTAAAACACATTTTTTTGCAAAATTCGTTTTTTTTATTCAACATAATTCCCTTCAAGGGTGATACACTGATTATAGCGATCCTCCAACTTTTCGATACCATTTTTGTAGTACGATTTGTCCTTTGCTTCAAAATAGGCCTCAGTTTCGGCGATCACCTCTTCATTCGACGAAAATTTTTTCCCAACGAGCATTCTTTTGAGATCTG